TTTTTTTGGTATTTTAAGACAGGGTCTCACTATGTAGTTGAGAGTGACCTGGAACTCACTATGTATCTCAGGCTGGTCTTGAACACACAGCGATCCTCCTGCCTCAACCTCCCGAGTGCTGGGATTACAGGTGTGCACCACTATGCCCAGCTTAAAATACATTTTATTATAGCACAAGAAATAAATCTTCACTTACTGCTTGTGAAGCTCCAACAAGTGTCAGTGCATGCTTGGTTCTGCCCTATTTGTATCTTCTTACTCATCTCTTTTTTCCACCATATTATTTTTGAATAAAAAATATTACATATTGTCAAAAACTCATCAGTGCGAGGTATGGTGGTGCAGACCAATAATTCTAGCACTGAGGAGGCTGAGGCAGGAGGTTTGCCACAGGTCCCAGGGTAGCCTGGGCTACGTAGTAAATTAAAAGCCAGCCTCGACTACACAGCAAAACTGTCTTAAAGAAAGAAACAATAAGAATGTTTCAATCTGAATATATTAAAGGATTTAAAAATACATCAATTTGCCAGGTATGGTGTTACAGACGTGAGGCAGGAGGATTGCAAGTCTGAGCCCAGCTTGGACACTTGAGTAACTTCGTGTGACCCTGTCTCAAAGAAGGCTAGGTACATAGTTCAGTGTGTTTGGTCTTGGGCTTAATCCCCAGTATCACCAAAAGAAAAGTGCCGTGGTTGGTGGTGTACACCGTAATCTCAGCACTCTCAGCACTAGGGAGGCTGAGGCAGGAGGATCACCAGGCAAGCACACCACCACGGAGTTGACACCCTAACCCAAATAGGTTTTTATGTATGTGTGCACACATACGTTTACAAGTGGGGTACAAACAAAGGCCATGCACTACAGTTAGATGGCAGGTCTTTCTCAATCTCTCAGCTCTATTTAGTGTTTGTTCTGTGATACTGGGAATTGAGTCCATTGCCTTTGCATCGAGTACGTACTCAGCCCTTTCTGATTTTTTAATTTTGAGAGTCTTGCTAAGTTACTAATTGTCGAGGCTGGGCTCCAACTTGCAGCCCTTCTGCTTTGGCCTTCCAAGTGCTAGAATTATAGGTGTTCACTGCCACTCCTGGCTCTATTATTTTCTTAAAATTTTTGTAGTAAACTGGGTTGTTTTTGTTCATTTGTTGGTACCGGGGATTGAACTTGGGTCCTTGTGTTTTCAAGGCAGGCAGCGGCTCCACTGAGCTAAATCCCTGGCCCTTGTAGGGTTGTTTATACTCTGAGTTTTGCTGATAACTTTTCTTTGGCTTCGTTAGGCACATTTCTCCATCCTCTGTTTTTCTTATATTTTCTTTTGCGGGGGGGCAACCAGAGATCGAACTCGGGTCCTTTTGTTTGTGAGGCAGGAGGTGGAACCACTGAGCTAAATCCCTGGCCCTGTTTTTCTTATAAATTGCTAATAGTCTCTTATTAAACTTTTGACTCTGTACTTGAAAAGCTAGCTGTATAATTACTCCAAGATAGTTGTGGGATGTACTTGGGCTTCTGGACCAAGGTCTTCTGTTTTTGCAGAGATCTGCAGCGGATAACCCTGCCCAGCATTAACCGCCTCCGGCACTTCACCAATGACACCATCCTAGACGTCTTCTTCTACAACAGCCCCACCTACTGCCAGACTATTGTGGACACAGTAGTTTCAGAGATGAACCGAATCTACACACTCTTTCTGCAGCGGAACCCTGATTTCAAAGGGGGTGTATCCATTGCTGGTCATAGTTTAGGTAACAGACGAATTCCCCGTAAGCAGCAAGGACGGGTGCATTGTAAGGACACCTGTTTTTGAAGCCAGTGTCTTGGCAGTGTCAGATTCGGAGGCCTAGCAGTTTCTGTGATGGAAGGGGAAGGGTGGAAGGGTGGTGAGCTGGGAAGATACTCTGCTTCCTAGATGTGCTTACATGTATCATTGGCTGATGACTTTTTTATATAAAAGATAGCAATTTAGTGCTAATACTTAGAAATTGTCCCTTTTTCTTCTATTTTACTTATAGGTTCGCTTATATTGTTTGATATCCTAACAAATCAGAAAGATTCTTTGGGGGATATTGACAGTGAAAAGGTAATTTAGATGTTCAGATAGGTTCTCTGGTAGTGTTCCATAGTAAAGATTTTTAGATTTTTAGACATTTTTGTTTTTAGCTGACTTTAGTCTAATATGTTAAATCTGTGTTCAATGGGCTAGTAATTATGTCACTCGAGTGATAGAACCTTCTACAAATAACTGCCATATTCTAAAATAACTGTAGCCACGTTTATTTCCTTTATAAATATGCACTGCTTCTGGGTATGGTAGTGTATGCCTGTAATCCCAGCACTTGGGAGGTTGAGGCAGGAGGATAGCCAGTTTGAAGTCAGCCTGGACTACATAGTGAGTTCGAGGCTAGTCTGAACTACATAGTGAGAATTTGGGCCGGGGATTTAGCTCAGTGGTTCCACCACCTGCCTTGCCAGTGCAAAGTCCGGAGGTCAATCCCTGGTGGTAAAAAAAACCCAAAAACAAAAACATAGTGAGACCTTGTCTCAAAAAACCAAAAAAAAAAGGGCTGGGGATATAGTTCAGTGGTGCCACGCCTGCCTCACAAGCACAAGGTCCTGAGTTCAATCCCTGGTACCCCTCCCAAAAAACACCCACCAAAAATTGTGTGTGTGTGTGTGTGTGTGTGTGTGTATACACACATACATTTTTAACTGAAATTACAAAAACTTGAAATCAGTCTTTATTTATATTTTGCATAAGTTACAATTTATTTAAAGTTTTTTTTCATGGAGTTTATTGGTACATTCTAGGTATACAGTACAGTTACATTCATTATTGGGATCTTGGTTCTCATTTTTTCCCCTTGTCCCTGCCCTCCCTTCACCCCTTCCTTCCCTCCCCATTTACAAACACTTTATTTCCATTTTTTCACATTTTTTTCTTTTCTCTTATTACTTTTCCCCTACCCTTCCCACTTTCCCTACACCTTTAGCCCTTCCTATTTCACATGGTGCATTATCTCATTAGGATCTTATGTACTATTAGAGTTTGTTCACACCAAGAAACTTTTCCGTATTTACCCATGTGTGACTTATTTCACTTAGGAGTATATCCTCAATATGTATCCATTTTCCTATGAATGAATCTAATTTCTCATTCTTTATGGTTGAGTAGTACTCCATTTTATAGAAAAACCACATCTTTATCCAGTTTCCAACTGATGGGCAAATGGGCTGTTTCCTATTTAAAGTTAAGATACTTTACTGTGGGGATTTTATGACATTTCAAATCATAAAATAGTATTAATAAAGGAAACTAAGTGAATTTTGAGAATATGAGCTGTATGATTTCATTTTAGGATTCACTAAATATTGTTATGGATCATGGAGACACGGCTAACCTGGAGGAAGATTTGAAGAAACTTCAGCTCTCTGAGTTCTTTAATATCTTTGCGAAGGAGAAAGTAGATAAGGAAGCTCTGGTAAAAATAATCTTTTAAAACTTTATGCCAAACCATGTTCAGTATTTTTTTTTTTTTTACCTTCATCATGTTTATAAAAAGGTTGCCCTTTAGAAGCTTTTTAGTTGCATAAGTACATTGTTATCGTTAATAATGTTTGTTAGCATCAGCGTTGTGTGCTGTTTATCATATAAAGTGATCTTTGCTTTGTGGGAGTTTAAAGTTCAAGTGAGCTAGCCTGTGTGGTGGCATAGGCCTGTAACCTCAGCACTCTGGGAGGCTAGTGTGGACAACTTTGTGGTGTAGTGTTAAATAATCCCACACCTAAGAATAAAAGTACACGGTGGTCTAAGGCTGAAGGAACCCTTCCTTCTCTAGTAAAGCAACGGGCATTAAATTGAGGTCTCTTGTTGGTCAGTTGTATGACTCTTGTGTCTGCTGTACCCTCACACTGGTATATCTGTCAGTCTCACCCATCTCAGAAGTGAGTATGGAGATCGGAGTGGTTTTTCTGTAATCAAGCCATTAAGTACCCATCTTCTCCAGGGTGTGTTTTGTTTCTTTGTTTCGTCTGAGACAGGGTCTCTACATATAGTCCAGGCTGGCCTTGAACTCCAGTGATCTCCTGCCTCAGCCTCCCAAGTGCTGGAATTATAGGTGTGCCACCACACCCAGCAGTTTTGTTTTTTGCTTTTTGAGACAGGGTCTCACTGTGTAGTTCAGACTGACCTAGAACTCACTATGTAGCCCAGGCTGGTCTTAAACTCACAGCAATCCTCCTGCCTCAGCCTCCCAAGGGCTGGGATTACAGGCATGCACCACCAGACCCAGTTTAGTTTGGTTTTATTTTCAAAAATAACACAATGTTAATCTATATTACTATGACACTGATACTCTAGATTCCTCTTTAAGATGTTTCTCTAAAACAGCCTTTTCTTCTCTTGGTTGTTAGGTTGCACCAGTAGCCACAGGAGAGTGCTTATATGTCTTGTCTTCTCAGGGAATAGGGCACTCAGTTGATTTTATTTTGCCTAGAAATAAAAGATATTTGATTTTTTTATGTCTAGGCTTTATGCACAGACAGAGATCTTCAGGAAATGGGAATTCCTTTAGGACCAAGAAAGAAAATAATAAACTATTTCAAGAGCAGAAGTAGTTTGCTGGTACGTACCTGACATAGCTCTTTGAACTAAGCAGTTGTCTAGCATCCATGGTGTACTTTGTGTGATGTTACTCTGGCAAGCTAAACAGTCTTTTTTTTTTTAATTCGTTTTGTGTTGCTTACGCTGGCCTCAAAGTCTTGGGTGTAAGCAGTCTTCCTGCCTCAGCCTCCCAAGTGGCTGGCAGTACAGGTGTGTGCCACCACATGCAGCTAAGTAAACAATTTTGGGAATTGATCTTTGATTCTTTTAGACTTTAAATACATTTTCTTTTTTATTCCTTTTTTTAAAGGCTTTTTGAGATAGTCTCAAGTCTTAATTCAGGCTGGTCTTGAACTCACTGTGTAGCCCAGTCTGGTCTCCAATTCACAGTGATCCTCCTGCCTCAGCCTCTCAAGTGCTGGACTAACAGGCATGCACCACCATGCCTGTTTTTTTTTTTTTTTTTTTTTTTTTTTTTTTGATACCGGGATTGAACTCGGGACCTTGTGCTTTCAAGGCAGGTGGTGGAATCACTGAGCTAAATCCCTGGCTTGGGATTCTTATTCATTGTTTTTCATTTTTCTTTTTTTGGTACTGAGGATCAAGCCTTAGTACTGAACTACACCCTCAGCCCTTCACCTCATATACTGCACTCGTCACCTTGTTAAAGCGTACGTTTCAGTGATTTTCGTTGTATTCACAGAGTTTCATAACCATTCCCACTGTCTGACTCCAGAACATTTCCGTCACCTCCCAGAGAAACCTCATGCTCATTTGCATCTCTGCCCTCAGCCCTTGTAGATTTGGTTATTTCAGGCATTTCCATGTCAGTGGGTTCCTGTGATAGACTTTGTGACTGGCAGCTTTTATTTAGCATAATATTGTCAAGGTCTATCAGTGTAGTAAGAGTACACCTACATTTAGTTTTTCTGGTCACCGAATTTTGTATCTTACTAGTTAATTGTTTTTTATTATTATTATTCTTTTAAATTGCTTTAGTAGTTAGTTCTTTTCCAACTTTTTAGCAGATGGATTAGTTTTCTTTTTCTTTTTTCTTGTACTGGGAATCGAACTCCAGGCCTTGCACTTGCTGGGCAGGTGCTGGGAGTAATTCTTTTCTAACCCTAACCCTGAATTCTTGTGTTGTGTTCTGTGCTCAGAGGCCTTACTTGTCCTATTATGGAGCGCGCCCCTTCATGGCGCTCTAGCATGCACTTGGAATTTCCCCTGAGCACTCTGCCCTTCTTTTTTCTCATGTTGGCTGCCTAAAAATTCCACTGCTGCCCAAATGGCTGTGTACAGCTTTCATCGTCTTAGGCACATAAAGAATATCAATTCATAATTTAAGGCAACACTTATTTTCACTACTTTATCTTGCTTTTTGAGGAGCCCTTCCTAAAATTATTGCTTATCTTTTTGTTATTTTGGGTTTTTTTTGTTTTGGTATGGGGGATCGAACTCAGTACCTTGTGCTTATGAGGCAGGTGGTGGCAAAAGCACTGACGTAAATCCCTGGGCCCTATTGCTTATCATTTTAAAACTTTCCCAAACATTTTGCTTTTTGAGACAGGGTCTACCTGTGTAGTTCAGGCCAGCCTAATACTCATTATGTAGTCCATCCTGGCCTTTAACTCCTGCCTCAGCCTCCAGAGTGCTGAGATTACAGGTGTGTGCTGTCACACATGGCCCAAGCATCCTTTCAGACCAGCAGAGACCTGGAATCCTTGGGCTGTTTTTACTGTGTAGTAGTAGCTCACTAAAGTCTTTTTTATTCTTCAGGGTATTACTCGACCAGGCATGCAGTCAGCTCCCAGGGTGAACCTCCCCAGAGAAGCTGAGCCCTGCGGCAGCACAGATGCTACTAGAAAGGACGGGTGCCTGGATGTCAGCATTGGACAGGTGACCATACTGGCACCCTTGCCACGGAACAGATGCGCCTTTTGTTATTAGTGAGAGATGTTTGTGTTTCCTCTTCCAGGTCTCCGTAAAGTACCCTCGGCTCATCTACAAACCTGAAATATTCTTTGCTTTTGGGTCTCCTATTGGAATGTTCCTTACTGTCCGAGGGCTAAAGAGAATTGATCCCAATTACAAATTTCCAACGTGCAAAGGTTTCTTCAATATTTATCATCCTGTAAGCATTGTCCAGTTAGTATGGTTTTTCCTGAACATTAGGGCTTATTGGTAAAGATTTGCTTTTTTCTATACCATTCTGTAGTAGTGAGAGGACTTATTGTTAGGATAGTGTTGATCTGAAATTGATGGGGCAGAACACCTACGTTTTCTTCTGAATGGATTCATAATTATTCTCTTTTTCAATACTGGGTATCAAACTCAGGACCTGTGCTTACAAGGCAAGCGCGGTGCCATTGTATAATTATTCTTACCTAGGACACATACTTCCTCAGACTGTGTTTCTTTAGCAAGATAAATAGAGCTATTGTTTTTCCTATGTAGTTTGATCCTGTGGCCTATAGAATTGAACCAATGGTGGCTCCCGGAGTGGAATTTGAGCCCATGCTGATCCCACATCATAAAGGCAGGAAGCGGATGCACTTAGGCAAGTCTGTATGAAGATTGGTAATGTCAGACCCTCGGCCAGTACAGACCTAACAGACCTCATTCATTCTGTTTGCTCTGTCGGACCCTACGCACTTCGTGTTTGTGTGTGTGTTGCAGAGCTAAGAGAGGGCTTGACCAGGATGAGCATGGACCTGAAGAACAACTTGCTGGGTTCGCTGCGGATGGCCTGGAAGTCCTTCACCAGAACTCCATACCCTGCCTTACAAGCAGAGACGGCAGATGAGGCCGAGGCAGAGCCTGAGTCAAGTTCGGAGCAGGCTAGTGGTCAGTGACAGGGTGCACACCGAGTCCTCCCGGGCCCAGTAGGAGAGACCCCTGCATGCCGCCTTTTATTCCCTCGGCCCCTTTATTATGTGGGACCTGTCCTCTGAGTCCCAACGAGGCCTCCATGTCTGCCAACCCTTTCTGTCATGTTTATAAACTGTGGAAAGACGTGAGGTAAAATGTCAAAAGAGCTGTGCACGAGGCTTGAAAACATTCCTGAGGAACTGTGGGGATGATGTTGAGCCTACTTGCTTTTACGGGAAGAATATCTAGGTACTTACGGGTCAGTCCTGCTTGCGTTTAGGTTTTTTTTCTTTTGGTACTGAACTTGGGTCCTTGCCCTTGAGAGGCAGGCGGTGGCACCAATGAGCTAACCCCCCCCCCCCCGTATAAACTCTAGGCAGTGACTTAGCTCTCAAAGGTATGGTTAATGAGTTGTGTTAGTAAAAGAAAAGAAGGGGTTGGGCAAAACTAGTGTGATTTGAGGATTTTTTAATGAGAGAGAGAGGAAGAGGGTGGAACAGTGCTGAGCAGAGAGGGTAAACTTGGGGTTGGAGGGAAGCAACAGGACAGCCAGGGTGCTCAGACTCCTCTGCTCTGACGCTGCTCCCCTGTGTCCAGACGTTAGCACGGAAGAGCCCTGTGCAGCAGGGAAGGGGGAACTTCCGCCCATCAACGTGGGGATGCTGAATAGGGGCCAGCGCATCGACTATGTGCTGCAGGAGAAGCCCATTGAGAGTTTCAACGAGTATCTATTTGCTTTACAAAGTCATCTGTGCTACTGGTGAGTGTTTCTGTTAGTTTGCTTCAGAGGAGATTGATTAACGGAGAGAAAGGAAGGGGGATAGACCAATATGCACAAAATTAAAAATCCAAACAAAGGTCTACAGAGGTAGCTCATCGAGTGAGGTGGATCCCCTCACTGTGATCCCTAGTGCAGAACACACACACACACACACACTCAGCATGTGCTGCTTTAAATGCAGTTTTATACTTGCATAGACCATTGAGTTAATGATGCCATTTAGATGCTTATAAAGGAACTGAAACATATACATTCCTGTTACTAAACTTTTTTTTTTGGTACTGGGGATTGAACTTGGGTCTCTGTGTTTGCAAGGCAGGTGGTGGAACCACCGAGTTAAATCCCTGGCCCTAAACTTTATCTTTTGGTATTGGGGATCGAACTCAGGACCTTGTGCTTGCGAGGCAGGCGGCAGCACCACTGAGCTAAATCTCTGGCCCTGAACTTACTTTATTTTTTGATAGTACTGAGGATTGAATTCAAGGCTTTGTGTATGCTAGGTACCAGGCCTTTAATTTTATTTTATTCTGAGACAGGATCTTGCTAAGTTGCCTAGACTGGCCTCAAACTTGAAACCTTCCAGCCTCACCTCTGAAATAATTGGGAATAAAACATGGCTGTTACCAAACATATTTTAAGAAACCCATTTGAAAGCATTTATAGTAGGTAGGTCAGAATTATTTATTATTAAATAACTATCTGATAAGAATGGATAAATTGTGCTAATTAAGTTCCATATACTACAACACAACTTAATCACTGAAGAAATTAAAGCTAGGAAAATAACTGTTTAAGAAAATAATAAGCTTTAAGGTTCTGAGAGGAATCTATTTGAATTCTGATAAAGGGAAAATTATATGATAAGATCAATATCCATTCTGTATGATAAATAGAATAGAAGCTATGACAAAAAGTGCAGTTGAGCAAATGCAGTCCGATTACAGCTCAAGTACTGCTCTGCAAGAGTGACCTCTGCTTGTCTGGCAGATGGTGTGTTTATATGGGTTGAAATTTAAAGGCCAAAACCTTTGAAATTCAAAGAAAGTCTCAGAAAAGCTTTTTATAATTTTTATTTTGTTCCCTACTAATTGGTTCCCTCTGTACTTGGCACTAGGGATCTAACCCGCAACATTTCTGCATGTGTTTCTTAAAATTTCTTTAGCAGTGGTCATGGTGGAACCTGTCTGAAGTCCCAGTGCTCTGGGAAGCTCAAGCCAAGCCTGTACACCTTAGACCTTAGTGATGTAGTGAGATGGGGGTGTAGCTCAGGATAAATGCTGTGGGTTCAGTCTCTGCTGTCTTAGCATATTGTAGGCATTGTTCTTTCGGCAAGGCCTTGCTTTTTCAGAATGTTTTTTTTACCTGTTTTATAGAGACTCACTTTTTTGTGTTCCACTTTATGAATGGCTCAAGAATAAACTCTGAAAGGCCAGGAATGTAGCTCAGCAATACAGCATGTACACAACATGCTCCAGGCTCTGAGTTCGGTCTCCAGCACGACTTAAAAAAAAGCAGTTGGGTGTGGCACACTTGTATAAACGGCACCCCTGGAAGGCAAGTGGATCACGAGTTCAAGCCTAGCCTGGGTAGTACTAGCCTGGCAGGGACTGAGACCCGGTCTCAAAATTTGAAAAACTAAAGAGGGTGGGGGATATAACTCTGTGAAGGCCCTGCTTTCAGTCCCCAGTACTACTAAAAAAGAAAAATAGAGAACTCTGGCAATGAGCAGTTCTTAGTCCTTTACCTTTTTCGGTGGTGCTGGCGCTTGAAGCCAGGACCTCACGCACGCTAGGCAGCTGCTTCCCTGTCTCACTCACCCCAGCGCTTCGCTTTCCGCGTTTCCAGACATAATGCTGTGGCTCTCTGCCAAGTCACTTTCCAGTCATCACTGCCAGTTTTATCACTCAGGTCTTTTTTCCAGATAGTAAAAACGGAAATTGTAAGGTACCTATGTGGATTAAGTAAAATATAATATATATAAAGTATCTAGCACAAATGTCAGTTCAGTTTACTGTGCCTCACTGTAAGTTTTCCTCTTACAGGGAATCTGAAGACACAGTGTTGCTGGTCCTCAAAGAGATCTATCAAACCCAGGGCGTCTTCCTTGATCAGCCCTTACAGTAAAGAGGACCCCTCTTGGCTGCTTCATGTAAGCTTTTTAATGCCATGTACAAAGGATGGTGCTTAACTTACTTACTGACATGCTGTAAGGAACCACGGAGTCTCAAACTCTATAAATACACGTATCTGTTGCCTGTCACCAGAATCCAGGCTGTTACTCGTTTTCGAAGGGACAGGGGAAATGCAGCCACACACTTAGAGGAAGGTTTTGTGTGATGACATCTGTTGTCTTCTAGGACTTGAACTCAGAACCCTGAGTGATGATCGGCTGAGAGTCAGCGTGGCAGCCGTTGTCCCTTCAGTTAACCACCCTGAGATTGGACACTGTCTGTGTGCCAGCCTGGAACCCTCTGTGACTGCCTTCCGGCTCTGCCTGTTGCTGACCTCTTCTCTCACTCCTCCTGGTCCAACAGGGAAACTTGCTTCCTCCCCTCAGCTGCATGTCACCTTGGAGGTCTTAGAAGATGATCCTTCCTCTGTGGAGTGAGCAGAAAAACCAAGGGAAGACCCTAGCGCTTCTTTTGGTGAGGGGCAGTACTGGGTAATAAGCCCAGGGCCTTCGCATTGAATTACATTCCCAGCTCTCTTTTTAATTTTTTAATTTTGAGGCAGAGTCTTGCTAAGTCACTAAGTAGCTCAGGCTGGGCTTGACATGATGCTCGTGCCTCCGTCTCCCAAAATGCTGGGATGACAGCCTGATGCCACCACACCCAGCTCTTAGTTATTCCCACTGGCTTTGTGTGAACACTTGCTGCTCTTCATAACTGGGAGGAGTCAGTCCTTAATTCTGTGATGGTAGTAATTTACCACTTGAAACAGCACACAGGCCAGCCTGGGTCTGACTTGGTGAAGGTTGGTAGAAACTTTTCTAGGAAATTATTGCGTATCTTTAGATGTTCCGGTCTGGGATTTACAAGTCTTGAGATTTACAAGGCATTTGTGGTTATTCTCATTTCTACGGGGTCTCTGGACCTGAAAGCTAAGTCTAAATGGATTTGGGAAGAGTCACCGGGAGATTTTGTTTTCTTTTGAGACAGCATTTCTTTTCTGCATATACTGCATAAAGAAAGAAAAGTGCAGCTAGTAAGAGTACCATGTACATTTTATGATGGAGAGACTATTGCTAGACTGACGCTTATTCCTTCACAACTGTAGCAACTCTAAGCAGTTGTGAAGGAGTAAGTCTAAACTGAACAGTTTCATTCACATTATGTACATCTTCATAAAGCAGGATGTTGTGTATCACAGACCTACCCTTCTGTAGCATGCTCCAAATGGGGGGGGGGGGCTCTTGGTGAGGTTTCACATTTTCTCCTCAGTACAGGGGTTGACCCCAGGGCCTTTGCACTGGGCTCTACTGCTAGCCCTGTATGTTGTGTATTGATGTAGGATCTCACTGAGTTGCCCAGCCTAGGCTGGGACTTGTGACCCTCCATTGTTAGCCTCCCTAGTGCCGGGATTCCAGGTGTGAACCACCGTGGCCGGCTGAGAGTGTTGGGGGTAAAGCTGTAGAGGTGAGGAATTGGAAATTACAGGCTGCTTGGGTTATAAATAAAGTCTTTAGTGGTGTCTTTATGGTGAAATGATTTAAGTTATCTGACGTTCACTAAGATGAATGTTACTGTTTCTCTTTAAAGCCATTCTGTAGGCCAGAAATGGGGCTTGTCTGTATCCTGTGGGCTGCTGAGGCAGGAGGGTCACAAGTTGGAGCCCAGCCTCGTCTCAAAGGGCTGCAGATGTGGCTCAATGCAGAGGCCCTGGTTCAGTCTCCAGTAACTTGCCCACATGCACACAGGTGAACACTGTTGCCTTCCTAGGGACTGTAACCCGGAATGCTTACTTCAGACACTCTTGGCAGGGGCAGTGTTAGCTAAGCATGGAGTCTGGCTGAAATGACTCATTGTGAGAGTAACCTAGACCTACAGAAGCCAAGGGGCAGTGCCCAGTCACTGTCAGCTTAGCTTGCAGCTCACGGAGTGAAGTTTCTCTTTCCCCCGGTGACTGCGGACTGCTTTTCCCCAGGACGTCGTCCTTTCCTTCCACTGATCAGCACTTGGCATCGTCTCGGCAGGGCGCTTTCTGAGAGTCCTTTATGCTCCTTCTCAGATTTCCACTGGGCCCAGCTTAGAGCTTGGCAGAGGCAGGCAGGCAGGCAAGGCTTTGTTTTATGATTTTTCTGTGGCTGTATCATGCTATCCAGAGCAGTGACATTTAATATTCACTGAAGTCACCTCTTAGCAGCGATCTTTATCCTCGATGGAAAGGAGGAAACCCTGGAGGTCAGGGAGTACAACTGAGCCTGGCCTTCCTTACCATGTGCTTATGGACTAATGCTGAAGGCAGCTACAAGAGGCCTGAGCTCTGAATCCTTCACCATGTAAACTCTGATAAGGTTTACTGAAAATGAAGTAGCACTCCTATATTAAAGGGTAATCCCTTGTTAAGTTTTACTTACTATTTAAGAGCGAACCAAAAAACTAACCAAGAATGAATGTCTGTAACCAAAGATAGACAACCTGACTCTGAGAGCTAGATGAGCCACTCAACTGAGAAATGTTTCCACCAGTCCTGTTTGCGCACGCCTGTCATCTGCGCACTTGGGAGGCTGAGGCAGGAGGATCATTGTGAGTTCAAGGTCAGCGGTCAGCCTGAGCTATGTAGTGAGGCCCTGTCTCAAAAAAACAAAAAACCAGTTCTCACGTGGTGGTAAGGAGAGTTAACTTGAAGGGCTTTGTATCGCACCTATCTGTGGTAAGCACCAATGTATACCAGGAAGCTGGAGGAAAGCCTTTTATTTACTTCTAAGCTATCACTGCTTTGCTTGTATCACACGCAGTCTCTTGACCAAGCCTACTTTTAAACTCCAATGTAACATTGTGTGCATATTCCCAGCTACTGAACTTGTATTGCTTATCAGTGGGAGGTTGTTTGCATGGAAAGATTAATATAGCATTAATTTGCTTTCTGATATTTTGCACTTTTGAAATGTTTTTTACATGATTACATTTAAAACTTTGGTAAACACTGAAATAAAACTGTACTGACCAGTTGCTTACTCTTACCATCAGTCATAGAACTAATACAGTAACTATTTTCTCCTCCCCTACATATTACTAAAATAGGTTTAGGAAATAAAATTTTGGTCAAAGAACTATTTTTCCCCTTGACTAGTGTTCTTACTGCCATAAGCAGGTGTAGTTCAGTATCCGCAGTGTTCAGGCAGGCGTGCGCGGTCCTTCGGCAGCCGAGGTGACCAGGGGCGCATGGCAGCTGGGCAGCTGATGTTTCTATCCAGCCCTAGATGGCGTCCTGAGGACAGAACACATTCACCGTTTCATTTGACTTGACTATCAGGCTTACTGAAGGGGAAAAAAATACATTAAAGATGTTATAGGAAGATATATGTAAGGCATGCTCATTTAAAATACAGTCAGAAGAAACAGGAAATTACAAGATCCTAGGAAGAACAGACACTCATCTGTCCTCCACATAATGAGAGCTGTCATTTTTCTTCCTGCCTCGGACGGGTGGCAGAATGTTTGGGCACGGAGCTCCTGAGCACAAGGACAAATGAGGTAGAAACAGTCATCTGTTAGCACTGAAACCACATTGACTGTTTTCTTCCTTTTTACCACTTCTTAGCAGTTCAACTGTTTATTTCCACATTGTTCAAAACGGCAATAACAGATGGCTGGCCTCAGGTAAGACAGGCACAACGGTGACAAGTTAGCCAGAACTGGATGTTTCCTATTTAAGGGTTAAGGAATTGTCACCAGGGGAAATAAACAGAAGCAGAGGTCAGGACCTAGATTTTAAGACTTCGAGTTATGAGAAAAGTTAAGTTTTGGTAACTGACTCTAGTTCCCAGGATAAAATAGGTCTTCTTTGTGAAAATAGCCTTCCAAGAGTGGCCTTTCAGTTAAATTGAAAAGCACTAGATCTCGGGGTCCCAGTCCAGTGGAGCCCTTCCTTCAGCTGCTGGGGACCTGCTCACAGCCATGCTGGTGGAGCCAGAAAAGGTGGCTGTGTGAAGGGTGGAAAGGTCAGTCTCGTGTCGTGCGTGGTTTCCTCAGGAAGCCTGATCAGCCTTGCTTTCCCCCAAGGTAGATGCAGCCTCTAAATATCCAGACAGTGGGAGTCACCAGGCTTCCTCGGTGCAGCACGCAGCGCCCGCTCGTTCCAGAATGGCTTATGGCACTCGGCGTCAGTGAGAGGGGGGTAGTACTGCCTGTAGCAGACATAGGCGAATGTTGTGCCGATCACAGAGCCAACCAGCACATCTGCAAAGAGGATGGAGATCTTTATTCTTAGACACCACACTGTGAGGAGAACTTGACCTTCCACCCCAGCACTGTGCTGAAAGGGGCTGGAGACCTTCATTCCCGATAACATGGCTTCTTTAGGCTTTCTTGGTCCTTTCTCAAGAGGGTTATCAGTGTTCTCTAAACACCAAATCAAAACACTCTTCAGAGTGGACCAAATTATTTTTTAATTCAAAAGAATGACACAAGTTGGTGTAATGTTCTTATTCACTGAGCTATTACCATTTCAGGAACCCAAGAAAGAAACTGCAGGAGTTCCCCTTTTGTGGTTATTCTTCAGAATATGGCCCCTGGGGCTGGGAATTTAGCTCATGGCACCTTGCCTGCCTTGAAAGCTCAAAGACCTTAGTTCAGTCCCCATTACCACAAAAAGTAACAAAAATGTGACACCTGAGGACTTTTAGCCATACTGTCAAATTTATTTATTTATTTATGTTTGGTACCGGGGATCCAACTCGGGACCTTGTGCTTGCAAGGCAGGCAGCAGAACCACTGAGCTAAATCCCCAGACAAAATTATTTAATTTATACCTTTTCTTTGAAGACTTCTGTAGTTTGTTTTTCTATAGCATTCAACTTAAAATCTTAAGCTTTAATTATGATATGTTCTTGAGTATTTGTTTCTGAAGAAGAAATGACAGGAAATACGATTTTTAAGAGTAAATTGAAGCCAGGCATGGTGGCGCACGCTTGTAATCCTGGGAGGCTGAGGCAGGAGGATTACTGTGAGTTTGAGACCAGCCTGGGCTACATAGTTTCAGGTCAGTCTCAACTACATACTGAGACCCTGTCTCACAACAATGTCAAAAAAATAAATCATTTATTTTGTAAAATTTGTTTTGTTTTCTTTTGGGACAGGGTCTCCGTTTTGTGTAGGCTGGCCCTCCATTCCTGGGCTTAAGTGATGCTCTTGCCCACGTCTCCTGAGGGTCTGGGACAATAAGCACATGCTACTGTGCTGGCTTACAAACTTTCTTATAGATGCAGTTTAATTTGAACTTAACGATGTTTCCAGCAGTGGGATATTACAGCACGCCTTGTCGGGAATCTCTTCCCCCCGGATATGTGTGAGCCCAGCCCAACCTCCCAGTGTGTTCCTTGAAACCACAAGCGGAAAGCGGGGCCTGCCTGGGACCAATACCACTTACCTTGCCAGTGATGCTTGTAGTCACAGGTTCGGGACAGTGCAATCACAGTTGCCAAGAGCAGAGGTAACAGAAAGGCACAGAGCCGCCAAGACTTCCCACGGCCTTGTGGTGTGAAGCAGTGTAACTTTCCCGCCAGGTAGAAGGACACGAAGGCCAGACCTGCAAATGCGACTGGAAAGAAACCGAGGTGAAGTCCTGCCAAAGTTGGGTCACTCGGCTCCAGGCAGCAGGCAGGGAGCCTGGGTGGGCACAGCCCTTTCTGTACACTTGTGGGGCAGGTCACTGATTATCAGAGAAAAGGAAAGGGAAAATGGACGGTTTTGTGTCCCCCAGTGTTAATATTTGATCTTAGAATAGTGTTTAGAATTCGAGTTATAGGACTTTGGGCAGGTTAACTTCTGTACGCTTTAGTTTCCTCATCAGTGGAAGTCATAAGTAACAGCACAACTTCAATGAGGTAAGAATCTAAAATACTGTGCAGTACCAGACACAGAAGAACTCAAGAAAGGTGTGGATTTTGTTTGTTTTTTACTAATACAGGACTGCAGCAGCCGGGGATTTAGCTCAGTGGCGCTGCACCTGCCTAGTAATCACAAGGTCCTGAGTTCAATTGGGCCAGGGATTTAGCTCAGCGGTTCGGTGGCCTGCCTTGCAAGCACAAGGACCGGAGCTGAATCCCCGGTACCAAAAAAAAAAAAACAAACAAACAAAAAACTAATACAGGATTGCAGGATCTAGGCAAATAACACAGTAGAAATAAAATGTGCAACTCTCGCAGGTCATCGACCTCTCTGCCCTCTAGTACTAACACTCAAGGCTAAGGCTTAGTGAAATTGTGGGGTTATTAAAGAAGAGAGGATTCTAATTTCCAGGTACAGGACAAGCTTCCCAGGTCAAAGGCACCGATGCCAAATCAAGCAGAGAAGGGAGCGCGGAGGGAACCCTACAGGAGGAGTGTCCGCTGGGGAAGCTCTTCCGGCCCTCGTTCACCACGGCCGCGTCTCCTGTGCACACCAGGTCCGAGGGCGCCCGCCCATCCGGGTAGCAGCGGTAGAAGAAGTCTGGGCGCGGCCTAGAAACAGCAGTTTACACTTTCAGAAACCATTTTTTTTTTTTTGGTACCGGGGATTGCACTCAGGTCCTCGAACTTGCAAGGCCGGCCACGGAACCACTGAGCTAAACCCCCGGCCCTCAGAAAGCATTTTTCAGTTGTACCAGACAGCGATAAGCTCGGGAACTGTTGGTCGTATGGTGTCCCAGGCAACATTAACTAACTGGATTAAGGTAGTCTCTATTCTAAGAGAAAAGCATTAGTTCCAGAGCTGACATCTAGATCAGGAAAAGAAAGAAATGACTTCGTGTGATTACTCGCTGGGGCAGACAGCAAGTTCCACTGCAACCGAGGCTGGGCCTCCCCTTAGGGTCGTTCCTAGGAAATTCTCCAGGGCAGGAAAGAGCGGCACCCCCACCGCAACAGTGGGGCGGAGAGCAGGAGGGCCGTCCAGGAGGGGGAAGAGGACGGAGACCAGGCGGGAGGGAGCCTCACCTCCCCACTATCAGCTTTACGGTGTTGGTGACGACGCCATTCAGGGCCAGGGCAAGGCTGGCGGCTGGAAAGCAAACGAACTGTCACTGGGAGGGGTCGGGGCGCGGGGAATGAGAA